ATCTGGGAAAGTCTGTCCAAACACGCGGCCAATATTTCCTGGCGTGCTGGGAGCCATTCAAAACGACGCACAAGACGATAAAACGCTCTTCCATCTCTCGGCTAACAGCCTCATTTACAAGAGTAAACAGGCAGTGGCCAAAGTCCTACATAAGTTTGCCTGATGGTTAAAAAGTGGATAAAATTTGCATTCCAAGGTAGCGCTTCGTAAGTTGTCAAAATGATTCCCTACTCCTACAGTCATACACCTATTGGGACTAACACTAAAAAAGTGAACTTGGAGAACAGTCCCCTTGAGGGCTGAGGGTAGTAGAGGTTGGCGCCATGGGTCCCGTCTCAGTGTGGACTACAGTCAGACAGGTTCTACTGTTCGGCTGATCTTAAGTAATACAGAATAGAAAGTAGGCGACCACTAGGTGTGGATGTAGACGGAACGCAGTATCTCAAGCTCACTTCTAATCTGACATTGAGGACGTAGCGATTGAACACGGTAATAAGCACCCCCTACCACAGATGGCTCTGAGCTGAGTTCCAGGGTGAGTACTTATTCCCCTGTCCCAACCCTGACCCCAATTCCGATTCTCCTAACTCTAACGCGGCAAGGGTTAAGTATATACGCGGGTAAGGAAATGCTGATTGTTGTTTAGCAAATCCCTACTTTACTGTCAGGCGTATGCATTCCGTCTAACAATATTTTGAGTACTTTTTTACTGCCTGACTGCTTTCGTGCCGAAATTTTTAAAAAATGAGCTTTCCCTTACTAAAGTATTTTGTGTGGGGGGTACAGTACAATTCATCCTGCCGACGAAAGGCCGACCAAAAACTTTACCGAACAGTACCCACTTTCGAAGTTTTGTAGGCAGTTCTCCACAATTTTTCCTTACCCCGCGCATATACGTAACCGTTACCCTCTAACACTAACCCTTCTAAGCCTAAACCTAACCATATCCACCAAAACTGTAACTCTACGACCTCCCTGAGACTTCGCGAAAGGGGGCTACTCATTTTTTGCCCTACCAACGTTATTTTTGTAGACTGGCAAAGTGCTTCCTTATAAACTCATGATTCCCGAGGTGGCAATCATTTCTGCATGAAATGGGCTTGGGCAATCGACCGAAATCGATCAGGACCCGGTGACAGAAGTGAATTTCCCTCTTAATTACTCAGGTCCAACTACACACCAAAAGCATCCATATTTCGTTTGCTGTAACGCGATTTCTCTGCAGGAATGGAACAACGAGCTTTCGGGGCACGCGAACCGCCCAGTAACTCGAAGGCTGTATGCGCATACTTCTCTGACTTCCGTTACGGATGGAAGCACCTCTTCAGTCGGCAAATCAAGGGTGAGATGGATGGATACTTTGGCGGGTTTTGGTTTGCAGATGAGTGAACGAAGTGTCAATTTTGCACTGCTGCTTATTTTTCGGCAACCGTCTGTTAGCAGAACGAGAGAGTAAAGTGAACAACTGAGTAGGTGAAACAGTAAATATCCCTCAACCAGCCGTAAATAAACTAAGCGGAAAGGGGGAGGCTGGTTGTCGGAAGTAGAGGACAACTGGAGTCCGCTCCCACAAAGATAACTTACGAAGACCGACGATGCATAGACACGGTAGACGATTAGTAAGGGCTCCCTAATTATGAAGGACTGATTCTGGCCCTTGAATGCAAACAGAAATTTGTTGAGGGTTTCTTGGACACACCGGCTGTCCAGAGATGTGGTTATTCAAGGAATCGACAACGATCCGACAAATGGGAGCACCTTGCGGCCGGTGGATTCTGAAACTGCGTCCCCCCAGAGGTCACGTAATGACCACCAAGAACTAAATTCCGCTCGATGCAATGAAATAAGCCCGAACTGATATTTAGAGCCGATTTCCTCCAGTCTGGATGCCCAGGCGATTAGAATTCTAACTACCTTACACTCAACCATAGGGAGGGGGGAGCAGAAAGTTGCTCCGTCTTCGTAGCTTTACATCAAAGACTTAAATTCGGGACCAACGGATGGATGAGTGCCCTAAGGATCAGGGGGTGGTGGGTGATGCTCCGCCGATGGGATTTTTTGCCTAAAGACGCCCCCTGATAGTCTGGTTTTCGGCCCGCTTTTGTCATCTATGATGCAGGGGTCCAGCCAGACCTATTAAGGCTTGATCCTGCTCGGCACAATAATTCACTCCAGCTGTGCATGTTCTGCGAAGCCAATTGTTTATGCAGATGAGATGATGGTCCTGGGGTATTGCTCAGACCACAAAGAAGGCCGCTGCAGCCGTCACCTTTGTTCTCCCCCCCCCCCTTGTGTGGCGGCCCTTTGAACTTCCCCGATCGGGACTGCCCGTCTGGTCAGAAAAATGCGTCTGATGGGGATTTATAATCTGATCCAGACACGTGGTCTGCTCTCCTTTGGTTGGCCGGGTGATGCGAAAAAAATACCCGGTCATGCACGTGGGTATAGAGGGTTCAAGAGTTAAAAGGCATTACTGGCAAACACACATAGAGGCGGCCTGAACTGTCCATTCCAGGTTATTTTGCGGTCGGACGTCGGCCACACTCCGAATTCGCCTGCTCGAGGCTGAATCGACCGCTTCATCTACGGACCCGTCTTCTGTAGACTGTGTGTTAGGAAGCAGTCAGATCCATGTGGAAATGACAGCCGGACGCCTGCTTTGATTGAAAGACGAGTTATGTCTGCTCCGCGGTGCCTCGAGCCTCCAGGCGGTGCATAGAGAAAAACGGTGAATTATTGATATTTCACTTTGGCTCGACTGTGAAAAATCCGACGACCTCAGTGGGATTCGAAACCACGACAACAGTGGAAGGCCTGAGGATAGTCGACTCTCTGGCCACCGGAGTCACTAGTTCTCACCGGAAGACGTGAGTTTAATCACATTTTGGGTAAAGTTACCCGCCCAGCCTACTGCAACGTCTGTAATCCACCGAATCTGGCGCAGTTAGTTGACTGCCCCAGCAGGATTTCCTTAGTAATTCATCTAGAATCCACCAGATGGCTGCCAGGTTCACGTACTTCATTGATGTCTTAGCAGATTTTTGAATAATTCATTTTGACCCAACTAAAGCGTTGGCCGTGCCAAAGCCTTCCCCTTGTGCTCGTGGGCTCGAATCCCAGCGAGGCGCCGAGTTTTACACAGTTGAGACACTATGAATTTATTGGTGGTATGGCAGATTTCAAATAATTCATTTTGACCCAATTGTGAAAATCTCGGT